AGAGACTGCTCGCAAGTTCTGCTGCATGCAACAAAGCTTGGATCATCGCTTCCCTGGACATCAACATTGCTTTCTTGAAGGGGCTGACCTATAGCGAGCTCGCCGCGGCAACGGGCGAGAAAGAGCGTGTGGTGTGCTTCACACTACCTCCTAGGTCAGCAGCTGTCCTTCGCACATGCCTTTGAGTCATATGACGAATCAAAGCATTGTCTTCGGTGTCTGAAGCCGGGGACGGGCACGAAGGATGCTCCCAGGGCATTCTCGTTGAAGCTCAGATCCATCACTAGGAGCTTTGGACTACAGCCTACTTCATACGACGAAGAGTTCGAGATGAGCTCAAACCTCTTGACAGCCAAACACGTTGATGATATCAATATGACTGGGAAGGAAGATTCTATTGACAAGTATGTCAAGTGTGTTGAAGATACGTTTGGAAAGTGCAAACTGAACAAGCACACATACACAAACTGTGCCGTTCGGTACAACAAGACCGATGATGGGAGCGTCACTCTTGATCAGGACGAATACATCAAACAGCTTCGTCCTATCACACATCCAGAACTCACAGGAGCTGATCCTGAGAGCAAAGCGACAAAGACGATTTCTGATATGTTCGTCAGTCTTCGTGGCGCTCTAGCCTATGCGTTGATCACGCAGGTATGGCTGATGGTCTATGTTGTCTCACTACAACGTATCCAGGAACCGACAAACATCCAGGTACGACGACTGAACGCGGTTACCAGGAAATTGCAGGCAGGTCCGAAGAAGATAGTGTATCAAGCTATGACTCCAACAGGAGAGGTCGACCTGCATAGCGATTCTGGCTATCGTCGTCTCAACGGAGATGAAGACGACGAAGTCAAAGGCTTATGGTATCCGCGGGGCTAACCTGCTGAGGCGTGGCCACACGCAAGCGGGGAAACCCGTCGTGCACCTGGTGGACGCATACTGCAAGTCTCATCGACTGCAGGTGCGTTCGAGCTACTCTGCGGAAACACTGGCAGCAGCCCACAACTTGGAAGACTGCTACCCGACCATTGTAACGCTCCACGAGCTACACTCGGGACCATTGACCCCCACACAGTTAAAGAACATATTGGAAATGGGTGGTCTATGTATCAAAGTCACTCTGACTATTGATGCCGAGTCTGTCTTCAAGTCTTTGTCTAGCAAAGATCTGAAGAAGCCCACAGAATGTACTCTGCTTTGGCACATTAGCTGGATCCGCCAGATGATGGAGCGCGGAATCGTTGAAAGCGTTCAATGGTGTGACACGCGGGATATGACTGCCGATGGTCATACCAAAGGTAGTATTGACCGCGCGTTGCTCCTACAAGTAATGGCCGGCCAGCAATCCTTCAAGCACGAGCTGAAGAAACATACTCCGTATAGGGCGGGCAGGTCGTCTCAGGACGGCCCTGCCTCCCGAGCTAGCGGGGAAACCCGCATGCAGGTGCGCTCTAGTAGCGAGGAAACTCGCCGGTAGCGAGGCTACTCGCGCGCCCTTGCCTTGTAGGCAGCCGCTGTTGCCTAGCACTGTTTTTCCGTGTAATGTAGAAGTGCGGTGCTTGCTCGTCTCCTCCCCCTCCGACTTTAAACGGAGAAGGTTAAAGGCGAGATGTATATCGAGCATGCACCGCTGCCGTGCCTGGCTCAAGCCGGGCCCGGCCTAATATGTGATTGTGCCTCATTGAGGCGCACGACTTGTATCTGAGATCGGAAAATACCTTTTCCATTGACGATGCCCCTTCTATCCTTTACTCCAGATCCCATGCTTCGTCTTGCTCTCTTGCTCATGCGATATGAGCCAAAGCCTGGGATATGGGAGCGCCTAAGGCGGACACATACCTAAGGCTTACCAGTGCGTTTTCGACTCCCCGTTTCTTCCCCTTTTTGGGTCTCGAATTCCTGGTCCTCCGGGACGGTCGGTCCCTGCCAATGAGAGGCAGTTCAGCAGTGCCGCTCCCTCTTTAGAGTGGCACCCGCGGCACGTCTTCGGCGCAGCAACTGCGTTGATCGTGCAATGAACAGTCCGATCTTGGGGGAGGACGGACACAATGGAGCTGATGGGAGGGAATCCTCGCCCCAGGAGAAGGCAAGGGTGGTGTCACCGGAGGAGGTAGAGTCGGTGGGAGAGGAGGAGGGAGAGGAGGAGGGAGGAGGAGGAGGAGAGAGAGAGAGAGAGAGAGAGAGACAGAGGATGAGCAAGGCCAGCGTTAGCAAAGGGACCCCCCCTTGTTCCAGACAACGTATGTTCAACGGTGCCAGCACCGGCAGCGAGATGCACAGTTGCAGGCGAACATCACAAGGCACACCGATCATGCATGCCAGGGGTCCGGGAGGAGATGGACGCCAGGTTCACCGCAGTCGGTGTTCGCCTCTATCATCAAGAGCAGCAACAAGCCGAAATACTATCCAGAGTGTGGACGCTTGAGGACGTAGAGCACCCGGGTCTTCCGCCTAAATGGATCGAGATCCACGGGTTCTGCGAGTACGGGGAGCTTTCGGAGAAGGGCATCGACCGCCCGAACTCAGCAGAAGTGGTTCGCCAAGTCTTTGCTGTGCTTCCGGAGGATCTTCAGAAACAGGTCGGCGAATTCGGGTCTCCAGGGCCAAGAACTAGCCATTCGCATCCCCATCACGCCCAGGAGGAGGAGGAGGAGGAGGAGGAGGAGGAGGACCACCTCAGAGAGGTTGAACGGGAAGGAGGAGCAGGAGGAGGAGGAGGAGGACACCAGAGAGCATAGGACGAGGACGTTCAACCGACCCCCATCTAGGGGGGTACATCGGCCTGTGGGGCCCAGGCCACGCCGCTGGGGATGGGGATCGGATAACCGATGCTCATAAACGGAATTCGACCACCAGGAAATTACAGAGTTTCTTGGAGTCCGAGATCAACGCAAGCTACACCGCCAGGATCCATTGGGCCCCAGATTATGCAGTATGGGTTGAGAGGCCCGAGTTGCAGGCAATCCAGATCGCGGAGGTGAGGAGGACTGAACCATCATCTGGGCGCTGGCCAGCCTCGCATTGATCCAGAACATTCCCGCCGAGATGGCCTCGCCCGCTTTCGGGCGGTACCGACGCCCGTGGCGCTGGGGGGGCCCCGGGGGCCTGGGTTCGGAGGTATCTTCAAGTTTCACCGTCGTCCCTGGAGCATCTTGAAGAAAGGTATCCTCCGCGCTGGCAAATCCATTGGCCGTGCCTTACGGTGGGGTCTGGGGTCTGCCACCGGTCAGGATCCCCCCCGCGTCTGCTTGCGCGATTTGTAGAAGCACATCGGCAGAGCACCGGCCCATGCCCAGAATCCCGCCTCCCCCTCCCCCATCCTTCGGCTAAACGTAGAAGCCCTGAATGAACAACGCCTACATGGGGCGATGGGGGAGAGGATGAGAATGCGGAGGAGCCGGCGAAGGAGCGCGAGAAGCAGGAGAGGGGAGGCGGAAAGGAAGGAGGATGAACATGAGGAAGAGGAGGAGCGGGAGTTGGAGGAGGACAGGGTTAGGAGAGGGAGGATGAGAGGCAGGGCGACGAGGACAGAACGGCTGCGACAGCGGCCCCACAGACCGCCGCCGCCCCGGTTCCTTGTTGCCACGTGCTGTAATGTCAGTGCCAACACTTCAATGGAGGTGTCTATGTCAGTAGGATGGAAGGTCCAAGATATGTGGGGGGCAGCAGAGTGAACACCAAAAAGCAATAGGGATAAGACCATAGGCAGAGGGATGAGGAGGAGGATATACGGCGATCAGAGGAGGGCGGAGAGACGAGAAGAGAAGAGGAGGAACAGAATACAACGTAGTAGCGGATCAGGCCGTTGAACCAATTCGAGGTCGGAAGGGGATGATGGATGAATTTCTTCAATGGAGGAGTCTCCAGAGGAGGCGGGGATTCGTTTTGGCGATCGTTTTTGGAGGAGGAGGACCCAACCAGCCCATCCAGAAACGTTGTCAGGAGGAGTATAATGCAGAGGAGGGGGGAGAGGAGGAGAACAATAGGAGGATGAGGGAGGAAGGAGGAGAGGATGAGGGAAAGGAGGGCGGAGGAAGAGCTGGAGGAGGGAGGAGGAGGAGGAGAGGGAGGAGGGAGGAGCGGTCTCTTGGGCCTCCCGGAGGCCTCTTGGGGCGTCTTGGGCCTGGGGGGGCCTCTTTGGCTTTTGGGGGTCTCTCGGAAGCCTCTTGGGGGCATCGGGGCCTCTTGGGGGGGCCCTCTTGGGGCCGTCTTGGGGCACCCGTGGCGGAGGAAAGGAGGAGCAGTAGGGCCCCCCTTCCGGGGCAAAATCTGGAGGCCGAAACCTTTTTGTAAAGTCAATGAGCTTGACTTCCGCACCGATGGGCCAAGGAACAGACTCTTCAACGCGTCTCGCGAACCTCCCCCTCCACACCTGGGGAGAGGGGGAGGGGTAAACCCCATCCCGAAGGGGAAGAAGGGGGGGTGGAAGAGGAAACGCTCTAAGCCACTCACGCCCAGGGAGCAGGGAGGCGGGAGCAGGGAGGAGGGAGGAAGGAGGAGGGAGGAAGGAGGGAGGGGGGGAGGGAGGAGGGAGGAGGGAGGAGGGAGAAGAGGAGGGAGGAGAAAGGAGGAGGGAGGAGGAGGAGGGGGCGGGAGGAGGGAAGAGGAAGGAGGGAGGAGGGAGGAGGAGGCGGAGCAAGGAGGAGGAGGAGGAGGAGGAGGAGGAGGAGGAGGAGCAGAACGACCCCCTCCTGCCTCCCTCATGCTCCCCGTCGTCCTCCTCTCTCCTTCCCCCCCAGGAGGAGGAGGAGGATTTCCAAGGAGACCCCCACGGCCTCCAGAGCAAGCCCATCACGATGCCCAGAGGGCCCCACGGGGCGCCAAAGCCGAGCGACGAGCACGGGACACCCTGGGCCGGGGGCACCTTTCGCAACCTCCCCCCCCGCCCCCCTTGGCATCGCTCGGACGTGTGCATTTTTCTTTCGGCGAGGACCATCGAGGAGCATCCTCAAGCACGAAACCGACAAAAGCACAGGAAATGGAAGTCCGAGCGATGGCCAGCCCCCCCCCCCGGCGCTGCACAGGAGCCGCCCGGCGAGGGCGGCGCCGGCGCATGGGCCGAGATCAGGGATGACCCGGAGGAGCCGGCCGGCTGGCTGGGCGCCGTCGCCGTCTTGGTCATGCTTGCTTTTGTCGTGGTCGTCGCCAATTTCGTTGTAGTCGTCGATCGTCGAGGTCCTTGTCGTCGTCGTCGTCGTGGTCGTCGTCGTCGTGGTCGCTTTGCCGATTTCGTAGTAGTCGTCGTCGAGGTCGTGGTGTTGGTCCTCCTCGAGCCCTCCGCCTCCCCCTCCTGTAGGAGGTGGGGGAGGGGAGGATGGAGGAGACCATGTGCGTGCTGCAAGCTACGAGAAGGTCGCGGGTCACCTCGTGTGAGCCATGGAGGGGTGAAGAGGAGAACGGGGGAAAGGGGCGAGAGGGGAAGGAGGATCGGGAGGATAAGCAGATGCAAGAACAGGGAGGAGGTTGGAGAGGGAGGACGGAGAGGTTGGCGGAGGGAGGGGAGGAGGAGGAAGAAAGACGATGGGAGGAGGAGAAGGAGGAGGAAGCGGTGGTGGGAAGGAGGGGGCAGGATGACACGCTAGGTGCGCTCGCGCCTCATCTGACCTCCTACCCCTTCCTCCCATCCCTTGCCCATTGCGCCGAATCTTGCTCGCGTGTCGTTGCCGACCTACAACTCTAACCAGAAGATGGGGGGGGAGGATGAGCGATGGGAAAGAGGAGGACGGTCGAGGGCCGCCGAGCACAGAGGGCGTAAGGCGACGGGAGAGGGAGGATGACGGAGGGAGCAGGGGCAGGAGGTCGGATGGAGTGGGGGAGCAGGGCTCGACCCAAACGTTGTTTTCTTTGTTCGGATTGGTTTCGTTTTCATCGTGTTTGCTTTCGGTCCTCCTTTTGCTGCAAATCGGAATCACAACGAAAACGGTCCACGAAATCGCCAGAACACTATTCAGGTTGAGACCTGTGGGGGAGGGGAGATGGTGTGGAGGTGGAAGAGACGACGATGTGACGGAACATGATCGGAGAGGTTTTACGGCCGTTCCCGCCGACCTTGACGGGAGGGAGGCACCTGGACGGCCGCGGATTCGGTGACGGAGGAGCAGGGTCAGGAGGTAAGAGGGAAGGGAAGGGGGCATTCTGGATTTCAAGTGTAAGTGCCGGAGGACACCGTCCTGAGGAGGACACCGTCCCGAGAAGGTCATCTCGAGCAATGCGGTAGTACGAAACTAATTGATCGACCAGCATGGGCCACGAAGTGGTAGGAACATTTCAAAATCAGTTCAAGATCCTTGACGCTTCGCGCGTGCACAGCAGCCCATCTAAAGACAGTGCCCCGGCGCGTTGTCTTGCTCAGGGAACTGTAGGAGCAAGCATCTGAACAAAGGGGGGGCAGCCGTTCAACCGAAGCTCGCGATCAGCCTGGGCATGCCCACGAGTCAACCGAGCATGCCTTCGCAGATTGTTCGATGGAAGTCTCGTGGCAGCTTACCCGGGCTTCCTCGGGGCCCTCTTCGAGCCGTTTTGGATTTCTTTGGGGTGCCCTCCCGAGGCCATCCTGGTGCCGTCATGGGTGGCCATGGGGGCCCTCTTGGGGTTACGTTGGATACCATCGATCACAACAGGGGGCGACGCTGATTACGGGCTTCCCATCGGAGACCGAAACATCATAGTTTGGGACCCCCTTGAGGCAGAGCAATCACCTCTCGCGGCGTTATTGTACGCTCTTGGGGCCGTTTTGGAGCCCTGTTGGGGCTCTCTTGGGCATTCTTGGAGCCATCTGGAGGCTTCTCCGTTGGCCAAAATTTGGAACCATGTCCCCGATGTGCCAAACCTTGTCAACAATAGGTTCTTCAGTGATGCTGGCTATGCACGAAGGGGGTGTTCTTGATCAGGTTACCCCTGTCGGAGCTCGATGAATCGTATCTTGAAGACCTCTTGCTTGTGACGCTCGTGGGGCCGTCTTGGAATCATATAGTTAGGGCCCCTCTTGGCGTTCGATAGGGCCATATTGGAGCAGTATTGAGGCTCAAAGCAAGTCGGAAGCGATCAGGCGAGAAGGCAACAACTTTGGGTGGTTTCTCGGGTTTGGAAAGGATGTATGCCTCTCGGGCGCGTCCTGGGGAGTCTCCGTGGCCACTTGGAGCCGTTGTATTGCCACCTTGTGGCCCCTAGGTGGAATTGTGGGCTATCTTTTGAGATGTGGGAGGTCACCTTCAGCTATCTGAAACCATCCTTGCCGAAAAGCCTTTCAATGATGTCACCGATACGCCAAAACATGTCAAGCAGCACATGTTTTTGAATGAGGCTGTCTTTTAGCGAACGGGGGGATTTCAATCAGCGCGGCAGAGGCACGCGGCCGCGTGGAGGAGGAGGGGGAGGCGCTCTTCGTCATCCTCCTCTTCGGCGTCCTCAGTCAGCGTCGTCCACCCCCCTCTGCTCATCGCCCTGCTGTCTTCCTGCTCCCTGCTCCCCGGTGGAGCAGCAGCAGCAGCAGCAGGAGGTCCTCGTCGCCGTCCTGTCGTCGTCGTCCTCCTCCCCCTACACCTCAGCCTTCTGCCCCTGACAATCATCCCCAGGGAATGAATTTCGGGTCACGCGGGGATAATCAATGCCATGGGAGGAGGAGGAGAAAGAGGAGGAGGAGGAGGATCAGGAGGAGGAGGACCTGAAGGAGGAGGAGGAGGAGGAGGAGGACCAGGAGGAGGAGATCTCGGAGCTCGAGTCTGTCTTCCTGGGGCCTCCCTGGGGCTTGAGGTTCCTTTCCTCGGGGCTCTTTCTTCTCGGGACTCCTCGCTACTGCTGCCTCGGTACTGCTGTTGCATAACTCGAGCTCGTTTCTCCTCAGAGGGCACAGAGAGAACATATGAACAAGGAACAAGGAGAGGAGAAAGGAGAGAGGAGAGAAGAGTGGATAATGGCGAGGAGAGGAGGGAGGAGAGAGGAGAGGGGAGGAGAGGAACATCCCAAGTTACAAACCTATCAAGTCCTAATGTTTAACCTTTAACTAAAAAGTTCGATTTTCAAGGTCGCGGGTAGGGGCCTCATGGCCGGGGTTTTCCAGGGATAATCATTCCGGGGGGAGGGGGGGGGGCGGCCAGGGCAAGAAAAGGAAATTAGATAATGAAAATAGAGGAGGAGAAGGAGGAACAGGACGAGGAGGAGGAGGAGGAGGAGGAGGAGGATGTGGAGACGATCGAAGAGAAAGGGCGAGAGAGAGAGAGAGAGAGACGTCAACGCTCACGATGGCTGCAAAACGGCCCACGATGGCTTCGCCGGTGGAGGGAGAGAGAAGGCTCACGATGGCTTCAAGACGGCCGAATAATGCTCCAAGACGGCCCTAGACGGCCAAAGACGGCCTCTTGTTGGTGATGCTATTCAACATGAGAAGAAATTAATTTCGGTTCCGAACTTTTCGGGGGGTAATAAAGTTCGGCTCCGCCGCCCCCCCCCACCGCCGACCAACATCTTCTCCCCGGAGATTCGTTCTCTATGGTCCTCGGGGGGAAAGTTCATTGTCAGGGGCATGGGGTTATCCATCCTCCTCATCCCTCTTCCCCCTTCGTTCCTTCCTCCTCCTCCCCCCCTCCTCCTCCTCTTCCCCGGCCTCACGGCAGGTCGACAAGCATTTCACGTTGGTGTGTGTCGGGCGCGGAGGCGTTGACCCTCAGCTCGCCCCAGCAGGTCGTCCGACCTGACCGTCGTCATCTGATACCCGAGACACCATCGGCAGCGTCAAGGCCAACTGCCTCACCGAGCGCGTTTCACAACTCGCAGAGTGCCTACTCGCAAACGGCCCTAAAAACATCTGGATGCACCGGTGTAAAGTATCGTAAATATCCCATGGCGGATCCAGGCCATTTCACGCGGTTACGAGTATCTACTTGGCGAGTAGTGGAACGCGCTCGTCTAGTGCCAGGGCTGGTGTGACAAGCTCCTGATGCGGATGATCACTGACGTCGCCGATGGTTGTTTGTTGGACGCCCGCCACACTTCTCCGAGGAAGACCTCACGATGGCGGACAAGATCGGCAGCGTCACGTCCAGGCTCCACGGCAAGGGCATACAGCTGGAGTGCGTTCATTCAAGCTTCAAGAAGTGCGACGGCAATTCGCCAACACAGTTGCAGTATTTTTTCGAGCAGCTGTTGCTCCACTTCCGCCTCGTGCAGGGCAGCCTGCCGCACAGAAGTTCGAGCGCATCCCCTTTCGGCTGCAGGTGGCCCGATTTCGGAGCTCTCCAGCTCCTCCGCCGCGTTGGCTCAGCAGCTTCGCGTCGACATGTGCATGGGAGGAGACAGCCCTCAGGGTCAGCATCACATTATGTTCCCTCTAGCTCGCGCCAGGGAGCGCTTCAGACCTCATTTGCTATGAGCGGATCCTCTTCGTCGTCATCCTCCCCCTCCAGCTCGTCATCCCCCTCCCCTCCTCCCTAGTAGCTCCCTGTCCCTCAGTGGTGGCCGCCTATTACCCCTGACCAGACCGAGTAGAAGTGTAGCGTAGCAGTAGCAGGAGTAGCAAAGCAACACAGTAGTAGTAGTAGTCGTCTTGTCGTCGTCGGTTCTCGTCTCGAGTAGTTTGGTTGTAGTATATATATATATATAGTAGAGTTTAAAAAGTCCAGTAGTAGTAGTAGTAGCCGACATGCAGAGTGGTGCCTGTCACCCATAGGGTAGTGTAGTGTTAGTGGTAGTTAGTGTAGCCGCGCGAGGGCTAGAGTAGTCCTGTGGGGTGTACCTAGTTAGTAATGGGGGAGTACGGGGGCGCTAGGGCGGCAGGAGGCAGGAGTATCCCTAGCGTAGTAGGGGGGGGGGGGGGCGTAGTGTAGTAGTCCCGCACGGCCTTGTGCCGCTCCGACAAGAAGCTCGGAGTACGTGTGTTTGTGTGTTCATATACATATACATATATCTATATATATATATATATATATATATACATCTATATATATATAGATCACGGTCACACTGGCGGGTACACATTTGGAACAGCCAGTGTATAGCCACATAGGGCGGCAACGGCAAGCGAGCTCCGCTCTTCGGCTCCGGGCTCGCGCCCCTCGCCGTCTGCGAAACTCAAACCACGAGCAAAGGCTCCCGACTCCTGCTGGCAACGAGCCTCTTGCGGGGCCCCGGC